TCTGTCTATGTATTACGCCTATCTATCTGTAAATTCTTTCACGTGTCTGCCAATCCCTTCACCAGTAACAAAAAAATAGGTCAGACAGCTTTCTTGTAGGCCTATATTTTTAAAAAATAATATTGGCGTAAAAATTAAAAAGCATTGCCAGTGAGATATTATTGCTTCAAACTGAGTAAAGCGCTATCGTTTCTCAAAACGATTGCTAATTGTCAATCAATCAATCAGTCAATGAATGAATCAATGAATCAATCTATCAATCAATCAATGAATCAATCATTCAACCAATCAATCAATCGATCAATCAATCAGTTAATCAATCAAGCAAACAAGCAAGCAAGCAGGCAACCAACCAACCAATCAATCGGTTTAAGAATGAACCAATAATTCCCTAATCAATCTTCGAAAGCGTCAAAGTAAATCAAATCGATTTGCCAATCAATTCAATACTTTTTCAAAAACGATTTAGAAAGACATCTACGGCTCTTGCAACACAATAAGGTCATATAAGCGCCGGAGATTAGAGGTGTTACAAGAGAGTAACAAACACAAACAAGAAAGGGGGGGGGATAAAGACGATACAAATTTGATAGGAAAGAAGAAGCAAGAGTGTAACAAACACAACAAAGAAGGAGGGGGAGATTAAGAAGATACAAATTTGATAGGAAAGAAGAAGCAAACCACACCAGAGCACCCGCCAATCAACCACTCTCAATTCAATACTATAGTTCTTCAGACTAAGGACACAACACACAAGACTGAGACAACATAATATGTACACATGTTTTAAACTAGTACAATCACCAAAATGCCAGTGTGGAGAGGCGGACCAAACTGTTGAACACATCCTTCAGCACTGCAAGATACACAGGGCCCTGAGACAGGAAACGTGGCCAACCCCACTGACGCTGCAAGAGAAGCTATACGGGCCGACAGATGAATCGAGCAGGACGGCCCAATTTATGACAGATACCAGACTTCAAGTGTGATGCGATCGAGAAGAAGAAGAAAGAAGAATACTGTGGTTCGATCAGCTATAAATGCACTAATGTCTTACTTTATATTCTGTCTTCATTGAGCAGCACTCCATGTGTCCTGAAATATCAAACAATTCTTTGCCGTCATCGTCTTCCAGATCGAATTTAGCATCTCGGACACTCCATCTAAAATACAAAAGAAAAAAAAACCCTTCAAAAACCCAAACTGATTTAATATCTCATTAATTAACGGTAACACATTCTGGAGATTCAGAAAAGTTTGAAAACGTGCTGTTTTGGGACACTTTGAGAAAAGAAGCATAAAAGTGTATTTAAAAAAAAAACTACAATCAAACAAGCAGACAAACAAACAGACAAACAAACACACAAACAAACAAACAAGCAAGTTTTAAAAAACCACAAAAACCCCCAATAATAACACAAAAAACACAAAATAAAACAATCCCACCACCACCACACCCCCCACTCCCACCTTCCCTCCTCAACCCGACCTCCATGCACACATCAACACGCCTTGTTGATATAATGACATCACAAGTTAAAAATCCCTCACTTCAACGCATTGTGCTAGAATTAATTACGTCACAATTTAATTTTGGTCCCTCACTTCAATGGCACGTCGTGTTATAATTACGATACAATTAAAATTTTTAGTCCCTCATTTTAAGGACATGTCTTGTTATAATTACGTTACTTTAGTCCATCACTTCAAGGACACATCGCGTTATAATTACGCCACAATTTTAGTCCATCACTTCAAGGACGCGTCGTGTTACCATACATTAATTACGTCACAATAAAGTAGTCCCTCACTTCAAGGACGCGTCGTGTAATCATACAATACGTCACAACAAAGTAGTCCCTGACTTCAAGGGCACGTCCCGTTACCATACAATACGTCACAACAAAAGTAGTCCCTCACTTCTGCTTCAGCTTCCCAGCCGTTTTCCCGCCAATTTCGATTTTGGCCTCGCTCTTACAGCAGTCGATGCAGGCACAGCAGAAGAAGCAGTAGGAGCAGGGCCTGGAGTCTCGCGAGATGCTGAACACTTTCTGAAATGTCGTGATGATAATAATAATAATAATAATAATAATAATAATAATAATAATAATAATAATAATAATAATAATAATAATAATAATAATAATAATAATAATGATAATAATAATAATAATAATAATAATAATAATAATAATAATAATAATAGTCGTAGTAGTAGTAGTAGTAGTAGTAGTAGTAGTAGTAGTAGTAGTAGTAGTAGTAGTAGTAGTAGTAGTAGTAAAAATAATAATAATAATAATAATAATAATAATAATAATAATAATAATTTTTTAAAAATAATAATAAAAATAATAATAATAATATTAATGATAATACCCATCATAATAATAATAATAATAAGAAGAAG